GCCCTCCAAATCAAATTGAGACCCTGGAAGATGCCCTGACAGACCAGATTTGAAGGATAACTCGGGGGAGGAGCACAGTAATTATGGGAAATTTCAATTTCCCAGGCATTAGTTGGGAGACTCATTCAGCGGAGATCAACAGCCCAGCAGCTTAACAGTTTAACCCATTATGCCACCTGTACCAAGTTGGAAGTAAAGGTGTGCAAAAGAAAATGGCTGAGCTGCTGGAGTTGCACTCTCCTTTACAACATTCCAGGCAGACAACTTTAGGCAGTTGTTTTTCAGGTGCACGACCAAGATGTAATGTGTGAACACAACAGATTCATGAGTCTACTTCATCAGGAAACATTATAAACAGCGGCTGCACCCTCAGTATTCACCCGGTGGCATAGCAGAATTTGCCCATGTCTGAGTGATGTATGAAAGACAGCCAGGTCACATCACTATAGAGGGAAGGTTTTTCACATAGCAAGTCCAGGAGGCGATGAGAGGAGGGAATATCCTTGACTTGGTTTGACCAACAGGGAGGAGCTGATAGATGGGGTACAGCTTAGGGGAGCTCTGGATGTGAGAGCTCCATCCTTTGCTTTAAGATCAGAGGAATGGGGATCAGTGGCAGATCAAGTATTAGAAGCTGGGACTTTGAAGACCAAACTGGGGAAAGTCTACTGGGAGAGGGTACTGGAAGGCAAATGAGTTGAGGAGGGCTGGATGGCACTCAAAAAGGAGGTCTTGGAGGCACAAGCCTTGATGATACCTCTAGTTAGCAAGGCAGGGAGGCAACGGAGAGTGCCCCCATGGATGAGAAGTGGTAAGAGGCATCAGGCGTAAAAGGAACCTCCATAGGAAATGGATACTGGGGCAAATAGACAAAAGGGTATACCGCAGGGGTCTCAAACTTGCGGCCCGCGGGCCAATTGCGGCCCGTGGGATGATATTTTGTGGCCCCCACTTGATATCAAAGTTTAGTGATAGTGCGGCCGCGCGTTTTTCTTACATGCACCTGCGTGAGTCGTTACCCTGCGGACCGGGACGGGCAGAGCATGGGGGAGGGGTCCTGTGGCCTTCAAATGTGGCTCAGCTGTGTAAGAGGAAGTGCTGTCAGGTCTCTGGCAGCAAGGAGTAGGAGGAAGTAAGAGAAGCCTATGTTCTGAAGAACTGTTCATGTTCTGAATTATTATTAGTAAAGATTGAGAAGATTGGATCAGTTGTACTTTTTTTGGAATACTTGAAATCCTTTTTTTGTGGAATACTTGATGCGGCCCAGCCTCACCCAGACTCTACTTCCAGCAGCCCCCAGGTAAGTTGAGTTTGAGACCCCTGGTATACCGGGAGGAGGAGGCTCATTGCAGAAGGATTCTTCGCAAGGCTAAGGCTGATTATGAGCTGAGACTTGCAAAGAATATCAGGAGCATCAAAAAGGCCTCAAGACTGAGGGTCCCCAACATACTAATTTATATGACAAAGATTAATATAAAAACAAGTTTGTGTCTATTGAATTATGGCTCTTAAGAGTCAAGCCAGCGTGAGCAAGCCATGTGAATGAACTGGAAGTAATAGCCTTGCTTTTACAGCAGATACCTGAATGAGTAGTTCAGCCTGTATAACCTCATCAGAACTCTTGCACTCCTGGACCTAGGGGACTGAACTGATTCCTCCAATCAATTTTTCTACCCTGTGCTTTCCCAACTTGTAATAATAGCTGAGTTGTTAGAAGCAACCATGTGTGTGCTGAAATTTGAACATATACAATACCATCTCTAGGCTCATTCCCCTTTGACTTTCAGATCAGTGACTTTACAGAAGCAAGTAAGAAGGGTATTCCCAGAATTCCCTTTAGGCCACCTGCACTATGGTAGAAATTCCTTGGCTGAAGGCAATAAATTGAGACAAGTAACTGTCCAAATAGGGAAAGAGGGGGACCAACACTGCTTTGAGCTCTTTGAAGACAATGTGGCAGCTGTAGTTGGAGAGGAACAGAACCGCAATACAAAAGTAACAGATAAAAATAAATAAATGTGGGGCCAGGTTACCCACGTCCTTCCATACATATTTATGTGCATTGCCTATGATCATTCTTAATGGTCTTTCTCAAAGAGCATCTGCCAAAAGATATGCCTGTGGCTATTAAGAAGATAGGCTTTCCTGTTGTGCCACACCAATTGTGGAATGAGCATCCCAGAGAGGCTCACCTGGTGTCTACACTGTGCTCTTTCTTTACTGTTTTATTGTTTTAATTCTACATTGTAAGCTGTCCCAAGATGCCAAGGCTTGTGGTGATGGCATATAAAATTTTTAAATAAATAAATAAAAATAATAAATAATACCAGGGAAGGCCTTTCTATTTGCTCAAGCATTCTACTCTTTCAGTTTCTGTTTTAATTCTTTTACTGTGCTGTAAAATGTAAATGTAAAATGTAAAAAATTTTACATGCTCTGGTAACCTCCCAATTGAACTATTGTAACGTGTTCTACATGGGGCTGAAGACGGTCCAGATACTTCAGTTGGTTCCAAATAGAGCAGCTGGTTGCTAGCAGGGACCAGCAGATATACACACATAATGCCAGTCCTGTACCACCTGCACTGGCTTCCTATTGAAGTTTGGGCCCAATTTAAGGTGCTAGTAATGACTTATAAAGGCCTAAACAGCTTACAACCTGGTTACTTGAAGGAGCGTCTCCTTCCATATGTGCCTACCCACCCCTTAAGATCTGGGGCAGGGGCCCTTCTCTGGGAACCCTCCCTGAAGATTAGGAGGGTGACTACCCGGAGAAGGGGCTTCTCTGTGGTTGTGCTCCAATTGTGGAATTCACTCCCCAGAGAGGTGTGCCTGATGCCAATGCTGTTTTCATTTCAGCGCCAGGCCAAACCCTTTTTATTTTCCCATTATTTTAAATGTTAGTGCTGTTTTAATATTGATTTTATATATTATTATCTGGATGCTGAATCTTATTTATTTTTATTATATAATAGCTGAGTTGTTAGAAGCAGCCATGTGTGTGCTGAAATTTGATTATTATTATTACCCTGAGACACTGTGAAGGGTGGGATATAAAAGCTTTAAATAAATAAACACTGTATTTTAATCTTTCCATTGCTTCTAGCTTTTCCTTTGTTTTTTACTTTTATAGTGCAGTTATAAACTTTTATTTGCATTTTGTTGTATTTTATGCTTTTAATCATTGAGAACTGTCCAGAGAGCTTAGGTCATCAGGTGGTATAGAAAAGTAATTTTAAAAACAGTTGCATCCGATTTACTGTAGTTACTTTAACTGAGCATACCTATAATAATCTAAGGGTAAAAACTTA